GGGAGGGAGTTTGGATGCGGGAGCGGGTTTGGGGTGCAGACTCTGGGATGGAGTTTGGGTGCTGGGTGCAGGCTCCGGGCTGGGGCAGGGGGTGGGGGTGCAGGCTCTGGGATGGAGTTTGGGGATAGGAGGGGGTGCAGGGGTGAGGGGTTTGGGGCATTGGAGAGGCTCAGGACTAGGGAAGAAGGGCAGCCTGCCCTGGCCCTAGTGAAGGGGGGCACTAGGACCCTGCGGCAGCAGGTGATGCCGGAAGCCAGCAGAGTGGAGCGGAGTCAGCATGAACTGCAGGCTCCGGGCAGTGAGGGGGCAGCAAGTGAGGCTGGGGGACACTCGGGGGGAGAGACCTGGCCCCAAACATTGGGGAGCAGCACCTGGGGAGCTTAGCTGCCACATAAAATAACTTGGGGGGGCGGTGAGGGGAGTTTGGCGGCGACAGGAAGTAACTGGGGGTGGGGGGCAGGGAGCTTGGCAGGCCACAGGGAAGAGCTCCGCAAGCTGCATATGGCCCGCATGTTTGAGATCCCTGCTATAAATCTAGGGAAGGTATTTATCAACTGTAAAAGCCTAGAAGTGAGTGTGAGATAGATAGATAGATGGCACTCTATTATGTGATAGACAAATAGTTCTGCATTTGGGGAATAATTCTGTGGAAACATAGAGTAAAACATGGTAGACAATACTGAAGACTCAAAGAACAGATAGAACAATACCATCCACTACTTCCATCATAACAAAATCCTCCTTTGGAGTCTCAAGTGGAGACTCCTTTCTCTAATACCAAAAGCTGCTACAGGGCTTTCAAGCTCCCTGGGGGAGATATAGGCATTCTTTCTCCTGTATTATGGCTGTAGAAAAATGTGAAACCTGGTACACATCTGTATAATGTTCTAATGAACTGGTTCGTATGTGTATGCGTCACTGCCTTCTGTCTCAATGAATCAAAACTGCTCAACTGTATGTCATAGGCCCTGTACTGCTAATACTGAATGGTTGCTTATGCCTTAGTTCAAGTCCCTGAGACCTGTGCCTTTAGAGCAGGAGGATCTCAGTTCTACCCCTGTTGTTGCTGTGACAGCCCAAAGAAGGCCAACATTTTTCTTTCAGTTATGAAATGGAAACCATAGTGATTGAAGCATGCTGAGATGGAATGCATTTACTGGAGACAGTGGTAGCAGTTGTTTTTCCGTGCACCCTAGTTGCTTGAACTACTTAATTAGTCACAACGTTTTCTGTAACTGAGGGTAGAACAAACTGTTAAAGATTTCAGTAGCACTGGAGAGGTAGGGGGATTGTGGATGAAACTGAGAAACATTTAATCTATTTTGGAGGTTATGAGCAAATTTAAGAAACAAAGCCCTAGGCAAAAGCTGCAGGTGGCAACCCTGGTGAAAGGGGAGTTCAGAGAAATGGCAAAAGAGAGACAATTGGATGTACAACCTCAGCCATGTGAAGCTCTTCCAGAGGGGGCTGCCCTCCTGCTCTTCCAACAGAATTCAATGCTCTCCCCTCAAGATAGATATTCATTCTGAAATACTGGCTCCTTCATATTGCATGTATAGTCAAGTGCTCTGTAAAGCTTACACCACCATCCTTACCAAGAATCTGAATCCTTGAGTCCTGCCTGCTCCTCTTCTGTTCTGTATTTAGTTGAATTTGGTGCTGTTCCCCCTCCTGGTACATTAATAGATTTTAAGGCCAGAAGGGACCATTAAATCGTCTACTTTGACCTCCTGCATAACATAGGCCATATAATTTCACCTAGTTACCTCTGCATTGAGCCAAAATAACCTGTAGATGACTAAAGCATATCTTCCAGAAAGGCGTTTGGTCTTGATTTGAAGACAGCCAGAGATGGAGAATCCAGCACTTCCTTTGGTATATTCCAATGTTAATCACTCTCACTGTTAGAAATATGTGTCTCTTATTTCTGATTTGATTTTTTTTCTGGCTTTAACTTCCAGCTATTGGTTCCTGTATGCCCTGTGAAGATATTTATATACCATAATCTGGTCACCTAAAGTCTTCTTTTTGGTAAGCTAAACAGCGAGAGCTTCTCACTATGAGGCATTTTCTTCAGCTCTTGAATAATTTGTATAGCTCTTTTATAGCCCCTCTCCAGTTTTTCAACGTTACTTTTAAAATGCAGATCTCAGAACTGGACACACTATTCTAGTATTGATCTCACCAATGCTGTAATGAAGAAAAACCATTTGTCTGCTCCTACTCACTAGTCCTGTGTTTATGAAGCCAAGGATCATATTAGCCCTTTTAGCCACAGCACTGCACTGGTAGCTCATGAGTTGTTTGTGCACTAGGACCCCTCATTTCTTTACAGAGTCACTGTTTTCCAGGACACCCCCTCCCCCCCCCCCCATTCTTTAGGAATGGCCTGCATTCTTCATTCCTAGCTGTAGGGCCTTGCATTTGTATTAAAAACACATTTTATTTGAATGGGCCCAGCCTACCAAGGGATCCAGATCGCTGTGTATGACTTGCCTTGTCCTCATCACTGTTTACCACCCTGGCAATCTTTATGTCCATCTGCAAATTTAATCAGCTTTGACTTTATATTTACTTCCAGATCATTGATTAAACTATTGAATGAAATATTGGTGAAAGGTCTTGAATTGACAGTTGAAGCCTTTGGTTTATTCCCTGTGGCCATAACAATAGGAAATAGGGGTACAGCACAGAACACGCAGCCCAGGGGGAGGAGACGCTAAAGTGGCTTTGAGTCACCTTTGCACCTTTACAATCCTGGTCTGCTCCAAGGAGCCCAGTGTAACTTAGAGAGTCCTTTGGGCATTTCTAAGTTATAACAGCCTTTTTGGGCTGCCCTATGGACTGTGGCACTGCCTGGAACCTTTACAACATTGCATACTGTGGCCCTGCCCCCAATACGATACTTCTGCCTCCAGCATGACACTATCCCAGGCCTTGCAAAGGGGATTTTGAAGGGCAGCCTTATGGCCATCTTGTGCAGTACCTGCACCAGGGGAATGCTCCCCTGGCATGAACCAGGGCTTTTAGGATCCCTTTATGCCACTCCAGCCCTTTTACTCAGTGTAAAGGTGTCAGGGTGGGTGTGAGGATATTACAGTGTGAACGTAAGAGAACCTTACCTCTTCCTAATCTGTCATTTTGACTGTGCCCAAGAGAACTCTAAACCAGCACTTCTGTTCATGCACTCCCATAAACCGTCATTTTGATCTGTGCAGCATCATTGCACTGGGAAGTTCTTCCATAGATTCCAAGGCCAGTATGAATCACTGTGATTATCTAGAACTTCCCCCAAATAATTCCTAGAGCAGATCATTTTGGAAAAATATCCAATCTTGATTTTAAAATTGTCAGTGATGGAGAATCCACTACAATCCTTGATAAACTGTTTCAATTATTAATTACTCTCGCTGTTTAAAATGGATGCCTTATTCCCAGTCTGAATTTGTCTAGCGTCAACTTCCAGCCATTGGATTGTGTTATACCTTTCTCTGCTAGTTTGAAGACCCCAATTATCAAATATTCATTCCCCATGTTGGTATTTATAAACTGTGTGCAAGTCATCCCTTAAACTTCTCTTTGTTAAGCTAAATAGATCGAACTTCTTGAATCTATTAATATAAGGCATATTTTCTAATCCTTTAATCATTCTCATGACTCTTAATGCTCTCCAATTTATCAACATCTTTCTTGAATTGTGGATATGAGAATTGGACACAGTATTCCAGCAGCATTTGCATCAGTGCCAAATAGAGGTAAAATAACCTCTCTATTCCTACTTGAGAGTCTCCTGTTTATACATGTAAGGATAACATTAGCCCTTTTGACCACCGTGTCAAATTTGGAGTTCATTTTCAGCTGATTATCCACGTGTCCCCCAAGTTTTTTTCAGAGTCACTGCTTCCCAGAATAGTGTCTTCCATCATGTAAGTATGGCCTGCATTCTTTGTTCCTAGATGTATATATTTACATTTAGCCGTATTAAAATATACATTGTTTGAAAATGCTAAATGTTAAAATGCATAGGGCCAAGAACTCATCTATGCAGGACGACACTACAAAACACATCTGCTCAGTGATGATTCCCCATTTACAATTAGATTTTGAGATCTATCAGCCAGTTTTTAATCCATTTAATGTGTACCATATTAACTTCATATTGTTCTAGTATTTTAATCAAAATGTCATGCAGCACATCAAATGCCTTACAGAAGTCCAACTATCAACAGTATTACTTTTATCAACCAAACTTGTAATTGCATCAAAAAAGGGTATCGGGTTAGTTTTGATGGGATCTGTTTTCCATAAACACATGTTGGTGTGCATTAATTATATTACCCTCCTTTAATTCTTTATTAATTAAGTCCAGTATTAGCCACTCCATTATCTTTCCCAGGACTGATATCAGACTGACGGGCCTATAATTACCTGGGTCATCCCATTTCCCCTTTTTAAATATTGGCACAACATTAGCTTTCTTCCAGTCTTCTGGAACTTCTCTGGTATTCCAAGACTTATTGAAAATTAATATTAATGGTCCAATATGCGCCTTAGCCAGCTTTTTAAAAAAGTCTTGGATGTAAGTTATTGGGACCTGCTGGTTTAAAAATGTCTGACTGTAGTAACTGCTGTCTAACATCCTCCCAAAATACTAGTGGAATGGAAAGAGTGTTATCATCATATGACATGACTACCTCATCTATTTTTTCCCCAAATAGAGAACAAAAAAATGTATTGAACACTTCTGCCTTTTGTGCGTTATTATTGATAATTCTACCATTTCCATCTAGTAATGAATGAATATGATTGTTAGGAAACTTTTTGGTCCTAATGTACTTAAAAACACATTCTTATTGTTCTTAACTCTGCTGGCCATAGATTTCTACTTGTGTCCCCTTGCTTCCCTTCTCAGTTCCAAGCTTTTGATTTATATTTATTACTACCAACTTCCAGGGCCGGCTCCAGCTTTTTTGCCACCCCAAGCAGCGAAGCGGGGAAAAAAAAAAAAGATAAAGCCGCGATGAGGGACTGAGGGACCTGCCACCGAATTGCCGCCAAAGACCCGGACATGTCGCCCCTTTCCATTGGCCGCCCCAAGCACCTGCTTCCTTTGTTGGTGCCTGGAGCCAGTCCTGCCAACTTCCCCTCTCCTCCATTTTTTATATACCTATATTTTTAATAGGTGCTTTCACTTCCCCTCTAAACCAGGTTGATTTTTCAACCAATACACCTTCTTCTTCAGTTGTGGTTTTTTGGGTATCTAGTAGAGTGTTCTTAAACAATTCCCAGTTTTCATTCACATTTTTCTGTTTAAATTCTTCCTCCCAGTTGACTCGGCTCATAATTGTTTTCAGCTTTGTGAAATCCGCCCTTTTAAAGGAACAAGTACGTATATTACTGATTTGGACTTTATTCTGTTTACACATTATCAGTGAGATCAAGTCATGATCACTGTACCTAGACTAGATTTAATTTTTACTTAAGTGATCAGTTTCTCTCTCTGTCTAGATGCGGTCTAATATAGAATTCCCCGCTGTTGGATGCAACAATTTTTGAGTTGGGAAATTTTCATTTATAATATTAAGAAATTCCAAGGATGTTTTAGTACTGGCAGCATGAGACCGCCAGCATATGTCACTCAAATTGAAGTCCTCCATAATAACACAGCTTTTTTTCCAGTATATTATAAATAGGTGTTTAAGGAGTCAGTCATCCTGTTCCCTATCATGATTTGGTGGTTGGTAGCAGACACTAACTAATACCCTATCTTGTGCTTTATCTGTTAGTACATTGTTCCGTACGTATTCAAGATCATTTTCTTCCGAGTTGTCAGTGACTCAGAAACAAGTAATACTATTTATTACATAGAAGCCCACTCCCACTCCTCCTTTGTCTATGTGATCGTCCCTAAATAGGTTGTAATAATTTATTTTAACATTCCAATCATGTAAATCAACTCACCATGTTTCACTAATACCAGCTAGATTGAATTTATGTCCATAATCCAGTTCCTCTTGTTTGTTACCCATGCTCCTACCATTGATGTATACGCAATTAAAGAATGTCTTCTCTTCATGTCCTTTGGTTCTTTGATTAATTTTGTTCTCCACATCTCAGTTTTCTGCTTAATGAGTGCTTACATCTTCCCTCTTTTTACTCACCCCTTTTGTTATTAGTTTAACAGCCTCCTGACTGCTCTAGCCAGCCTGTCCCCAAGGAGTTTGGTTTACCGTCTAGTGAGGTGGAGACCATCCAAACTGTACAGCTCCCCTTTTCCTTTAGAAGGTGGACCAATGTTCCGCAAAACCAAAACTCTGCAGCCTGCACCATTTATCTAGACAGCAGTTCACTTCCAATATCTTCTGCTTGCAGCTAGTTAGTAGATATCAGACTGGACAAGAAAGTTGAGGTAAGGGTAAGGCACTGGGATATGAAAGAAAAGGGACATAGTTGAGATTATGGCTGTGTTGTGTGGGAAGTGTCACTTTAATTCTCCATTTCCTGGTTTCCTGACATGCTGATTTGAGGAATCTATCTGTACAATTTGTGAATTATGGTTGATGCTATGAAGTTGTTCTGATGAAATTGCTGTATTTTTGAATGCCTCTGTGTATGTGGAATCCACCCTTGGCGGACAAGGGCTGTGTCATGTCCTTTACAGACCAGATACAAAAGTGGATTGTTAGAACTTAGTCTGCTTGTTCAGGTGGAAACACCTTGGGATGGTGAGTTAGATAGAGCTTAGGAGAACTAGTCTTCTCTTACCTTGTCTGCAGTCGACTGGTGAAGAAGAATGAAAACACCAACAGAACTAAGGAACCAGATGTTGGTAGGGGAATATATAAACTCAAGAGACTCTGGGAGACATGAATAGGAAATTTTGCACAGGAGAGGGGAAGAAATGATCAGGTTTTCTTAGCAGGGGTTCCTTTTTTTAACTTCGGCCCAGCCACAGTCAGGGAAAACTAGCTGACCTAGAGAGAGGCTCCATGTTTCTGAAAGTAGACATGAGCTGCAGGGGAAGGATTCTACACATCCCAGAGGGCTATGCCCAAGCCTAAAGAACTCTCCAGTGTGGTGAGGAAACTGAGGCAAGGAAATATGTGTAGGCATGTGTGACGGGTTGAATCACAGAACCCCCCTTGGGAGCTGCCACCTGATGTGCCAAGACTACTTCTGCCCCTGCTTTCCTGCCCTGTCAGCTTAGGACTTCAGTGCCCTGCCTGGTTTGAGCCCGACTCGCTAGCCTGCTACAAACCCAGACCCAGGTCTGAATCACGTCCCCTAACAACTATAAGCTTACCTGAAAGCAGCTAACAGAAGTGTTCTTGTCTTTAACACTCAGATGCCCAACTCCCAATGGGGTCTAAACCCAAATAAATCCGTTTTACCCTGTATAAAGCTTATACAGGGTAAACTCATAAATTGTTCGCCCTCTATAACACTGATAGAGAGATATGCACAGTTCTTTGCCCACCCAGGTATTAATACATACTCTGAGTTAATTAATAAGTAAAAAGTGATTTTATTAAATACAGAAAGTAGGATTTAAGTGGTTCCAAGTAGTAACAGACAGAACAAAGTAAGTCACCAAGCAAAATAAAATAAAACATGCAAATCTATGTCTAATCAAACTGAATATAGATAATCTCACCCTTAGAGATGCTTCAGTAAGTTTTTTCCTCAGACTGGACACCTTCCAGGCCTGGGCACAATTCTTTCCCCTGGTACAGCTCTTGTTCCAGCTCAGGTGGTAACTAGGGGATTCTTCATGGCGGCTCTCCCCTTTGTTCTGTTCCACCCATTTATCTATCTTTTGCATAGGCTGGAATCCTTTGTCCCTCTGGGTTCTCACTCCCCACTTCTCAATGGAAAAGCACTAGGTTAAAGATGGATTCCAGTTCAGGTGACATGTCACTGTAAGACCCCAAGCCTTCATTCCTCCCAGCCTGACTCACAGGAAGGCTTGCCTCAAAACAGAGCCATCCACAGTCAATTGTCCTGGTTGATGGGAGCCATCAAGATTCCAAACAACCATTAATGGCCCACACTTTGCATAATTACAATAGGCCCTCAGAGTTATATTTCATATTTCTAGTTTCAGATACAAGAGTGATACATTTATACAACTAGGATGACCACACTCAGTAGATTATAAGCTTTGTAATGATACCTTACAAGAGACCTTTTGCATGAAGCATATTCCAGTTAAATTATATTCACTCATTAGCATATTTTTATAAAATCATATAGACTGCAATGTCACAACATGTTTATTATTTTGTCTAGATCTCTGTATCTCTTGTGCTGTTAAGTAAAAAGCAATGGTGTTTTAGAATCCTCTGCAAATGCTGTCTGTGTATCTGTTTGCTTTCACTATCGCCATGCCCCTGAAGAGTTAACCTGTGAAACCAAAGTTTTCACAAAGGTGGAGTTCTGGAAAGGGGTGTGCATAAACTACACAGGAGACTGAGGGGTCAGCACTAATCCAAGGGGTTGGGCAGGGCCCGTCCCTACCTATGGTGGTGCCCTACGCAACCCGATCACCTGCACCCCCCTGTGGGGGGCCGACCCTCTGTTGTGGGAGGGCTGCGCTCAAGGGCTGCAGAGCTGCGGGGTCAGGAGCTGTGGGGGGCAGCAGTAGGGCAGGGAGGCCCAGGGCAGCACGGCGGATTACCGGGGGGCCTGGCGCCAGCAGCAGGAGTTGGGCCCGCCCCCCACCCGCACTCACTGATGGCAGTGGGAAGCAGAGCAACCCAGCCCCAGCCCGCTCTGCTCCCCCAACTCCCAGCCCTGTCGCTTGGGGGAGGGGGCTTGGAGGAAGGGGTCAGGCCCACCCCTGCACTCACCAGCAGCGGCGGCGGGAAGCGGAGCTATGTGGCTGGGAGCTGGTGGAGTGAAGTGGGCTGTGGCTGGGTCGCTCTGCTTCCCGCTGCCACCGCTGGTGAGT